CTATCAAACTTCTTGTATACTTCTTTCTATGAAATAATTCACTCACAATATCAATATATTTAATTTTTAGTCTAAACATCAAGTATAAAACCCACCACCAATATCCTTCCAATGCATCATGTACGAAAAATATGAAGTAGAATAAATAGAAAATATTACAAAATAAAATCGAGAAAATTTGTCAAAAAAAAAAATCAAAACAAAAAATTTCCAAGCAAGTATCTTACCATAAAGCAATGCATGTCTTAGGTTAGATGCACTCAATATATCATTTTTTAGTATTTTTCTGTCTCGTAATGTTGAAGTCTTCAATATTTTTTTATGAAACATTTTATCATTGTTCAAGCATTCAACAATGGTAAATATAACGGTCACAAATTTTTGTATGAAAACATAATTTTTTCAAACATCTTTATTAATATATTGACATATAATATAGCTTTCGAATTTGAGGTTGTAATATGGAATAAACTAATTATATTAGAATGAGACATGATTACAATGTCCTCAAAATCAATACCCTTAGATCATATCCAATACACCTTAAGATTATGTTGTTTGAACTCACACTATTAAACACTCAACAAATACATATGATTGTATGACAATCTCACTTTTTGAATGAGTTTTGCCACAAAAGCATTATTTATTCATGATTAATGGACTTTTCAAGTATTTGATTAAACATTATGGTCATTTTTAGAACATTTGAGATTATTATTTACAATAATGTTACAAATTATCTCGCTCAAAATGTTTGATAATGCTGAAAATGAGTTTTTTTTTATAAAAATGAAATAGTAATGACAAATAATACAGATTTGTTATTGGAATTGTGTGTTAATCACAAAATTGTGAAATAATGAACATACATACAAGTTCTAAGTAAATAGATTTTATGTGTTTGTTGTATTGGTATTTTGGTAAAATAGTTGTTGAAATTAATATTTTATACAAAATCTATAGCTCCATTTAGCTAAATTTTTTGATGTTTTAGTTTTGAAAAAAATTTAAAATAATAAAAATAGTATTTAATATGATATTTTTTTAATAAAAAAATTATTATAAATAAATAGCGGCAAAATTACAAAATTCTCTATGGGTGTGTTTGTTTGGGGGTTTGGATTTTGGATTGGGATTTGAATAGTAAAAATTTTGAATTTGAATAGTTGTATGATGTGATATAAATAGGGTTTGATGTGATGTTTTGAATGTAAAATTGATTTTTAGTATAATATAAAAAATGAAAAATAGATGTTTGATTTGATGTTTTGGGGGAGAAAAAATTAGGATGAATAGTAAAAATCTAAACAAATCCCTCAAACAAACACACCCTTAATAAATGTCATCATATTTTTGCAAAAATTATATGATATTGCATGGTAAATGATTAAAAAAAGTATTAGGCTTTTACTTGAGTTTTTTTTTCTTTTTATTTTTTATTTTTTATATTTTATTTTACAATGTGTTCATTTTGTATTTTCAAATGAATGTGTTTTCTATATTAAATACGAAAAATTATTTAAATAATATAAAAATAATATTTTTTTATTGAATTATTAAATTTTTAATAAGTAATATATAATATGTATATATATATATTGTATTTTTAATAATATTTATAAAAAGTCATATTTAAAAAGTAAACAAACTATATGCATTCTGTGCAAATTTATTACATTTGATAAAAGTTTTCATTTTAAGACTCATCCAAAACCTTAAAAAAATTAATAAAAAATTAATAAGAAAGACAAAAAACAACTCATTCTACTATGCATGTGCTAATTAAGTAATTAACATATATGCATGTAGTAGTATTTAATGTGTTTGGTTGTTTGTTGTAGTTTGAAATTAATTTGATACGGAGTATTGATTTGAATTTTTATTTAAATAATATTTTTTAAAAGAAAATAATTTAAATAATATTTTTAAAAGAAAATAATAATGCATTTTTATTAAAAATTATGTATAGTAAGTAATATTAATTTTAATTTCAAATATATAAAAAAGAACAAATCTTATTATAATTTTTTTTTATATATTTGTTTGTTTGTTTAATGGTTATGATTTTTAGTTTTTTTTTTTTTTTTTTTTTCCAGTTGAGTCCAAATGAGCAACCTACGTACCACAAACGGGGATCAAGCCGTACGTAGTTCTTCCAAGCAATACAGTCAAGTACAAGCAGTCCAACCTGCTAAAAGGTCTAAGTCTAGCCTAAATAAGGAAATGCTAAAACTAATAGGATTAAACAAGACAATAAAACGAGTTATAATACCTAGCGCCAAAATTTAAAGCTCGGGTGCATCCGTCCGAAGAAAGCCACAAGCCGCCGCTGGGATTTTTGAAGGGCTAAGGATCCAGAAATCCGTGATAGAACAAGGTGCTTTCGATAGCGCATCCGTCACTCGGTTTTCCTCTCGATTTATGTGGAAAATCTACAAAGTAGTGCCGTGTAGCCGCAATCGAAGTCAGAGAAGACAATCCTGCAAAGTCCAATGTCCCAAGAAATTAAAGCAATGCTAGTCGTTGAACCTGTCTTAATCTATATCGGCGAGAAACATTTAGAAATATTTTAATAATATTTTATATATCAAAATTATCATTTTGAGAATAGTTTTGTGTAAAAGTATACAATCATCATCATTTCTTAAAAAATATTCCCTTCATCCCAAACAATGTGCAATATTTATTTTTGGCACGGATTTTTAGGTGGGTAGTATTAAGTATAATAATTTAGAAATTAGGCGATGTGATTGAGAGAGAAATATATATTTTATTTTTTTATTTGGATGGTGTGAGGAGATAAAGTGTGGGGTAGAGATTAGGTATAATTAATTATTTCCTATTTTGGAAATGTTGCAGGGTGTTTAAGACATATTAAAAAGGAAATATTGCACGGTATTTGAGACGGAGGGAGTAATTTTTTTGTTTAAAAAAAAAATATATAACATTCCAACTGATATTCAAATGATATTCTAAAAAAAATTAATAAATTAATATTATAACTCGCTATTATTAACTAATAAAATATCATTTTCTTAAATATTGTATTCTCAATAAAATAAAGGTCAATTATCTTGGGACGAACAAATTGCTAAATAATACAGTAGGGTGTGTTTGTTTGGGAAATTTTTCCCAACTTTCACTATTTATCAAATTTCTCCTTTAAAAAATATCAAATCAAACACTCATTTTGTTATAATTTTAAATTATATTAAAAATTAATTTTACATTCAAAACATTCTATTATATCACATCATGCAATTACAATTTAAAATTTTTTACTATTCAAATTCTAACTCAAAATTCAAACCTCGGAACAAACAAACCAACCCTGAGACGAACACGTGAGAGTTGTCAAAGACGTAAATATTATTACAATATTAGAATGCATGTTGACGTTGCAAGATGTGTACAAATTTTAGTTCACCATTATATCACCTTCCCACTTAATTAATTAGACTTACTTTAATTTAAAATTTTCAACTCACCAACCAACCTCACCTATAAATTATAATATAACACAACTCGCCACTGCAACATTCCCTAATCACATATAAAATTATATATATACATGTACATTTTTACACTATTATTGATTGAATAGCTTTTAAAAATATCTATTACATTAATTTATTATTTTTTTAATTACCATATTAAATACCTAATTTTTTTAATATTTCTAAAAAATTTAAAAAATAATAACAGAGCCCATATTGTTGAAGCCACAGTGGCAAGATAAAATATAAATTTTATAAGTATGTTCTTTTGCATGTAAGTTAAAAAAAAAAAAAAAAATTATATGTAATTATCGGGATTTTTGATTATATATATATTATATTATATAAAATATCATATCTAAATCAATATTAAAGAAAAAACTAAATTAAACTTCAAAAGAACAAAGTCCTCTATTCTTTTAGTAATTTTTTGTTTCATTATACATTGTTCAATTAATTCACTATGTAAATACAAAATACAAACAAATCAAACACAGCCTATATATGATTCATTGATTAAAAAAAAAAAAAAAACAGTAATTAAGTTGAGGGTTTGCGATTGATTATTTGATTTGAGAATGATAGAAATTCGAATCAAATTAAATTTTAGGGTAAACTGTTTTTTTAGTCCCGTAACTGGACCCCCTTATCATTTTACTTCCGTAAGTGGAGCATGTCGCAAACTAGTCTCACAAGTGAAGAATTTTCGCTGTTTTAGTCCTCCAGCGCTGGAGATACCCGTGTGGCTTGCCAAAGGTGACGTGTCCGCCAGGTGTCGCTGACATAGCGAACACGTAGATTTTTTTTATTTTTTTTCATTTTTTAAAATTTTTTTAAACTTATTTTAAATTGTATTTGTATTTTTTTAATTTTTTTATTTGTTACAATTAAAAAAAATTTTTAAAAAAAATATAAATAAATCCACGTGTCCGCCAGGTGCGCTGATCTGGCGGGACACCTGGCGGACACGTCACCTCCGGCGAGCCACGCGGGCGTCTCCGGCGCCGGAGAACTAAAACAACAAAAATTTTTCACTTATGGGACTAATTTGCGACATGCTCCATTTACCGGACTAAAATAATAAAAGGGTTCAGTTACTGAACTAAAAGACAGTTTACCCTAAATTTTAATATAACACAAATATATATATGTGATATTATATTGTGAAAGAAAAAAAAATAATTCTTAAACTAATATTTTAAATTTTAAAAATATTATTTAACTTAAATATTTGAAAAGAAAAAATAATAATAATAAATAGTTCAAGACCAGTCAAAACTTAAAACAATAGTCAATAAACCCCAATATTTCCTTATAACAAAAAAACACTTCTTCCCAATTAAGCACATTGAAACAAAGCTGTCCAAATATGGATGACCTAACCCCAATAAAATCACCAACCCAAATCATCCAAAACTTTCCAACTATATATACATATATAAATATATATATATATTCTACATTGGCATTTGTTCATGTGGATGAACTTGATCAAGAACCATGGCCATTAACTTCAATTCTTACAATGTTGGATTAATGTTGCTTTTAGTGAAGATGATTAACCTTTGGTCAATTGGGGTGTGTCAAATAGATGACATAGATTTGACAAAAGGGGCCTCATATATTTTCGGAGACTCGTTGGTCGACGCCGGAAACAACAACTATTTACAAACTTTGTCCAAAGCCGATATTCCTCCCAATGGGATCGATTTCAAGGCTTCCGGAGGGAACCCGACCGGGCGCTTCACCAACGGGAGAACCATAGGGGATATTGTCGGTTAGTGTGCATTTTTTGTTGGATAATTTTTATTTTTATTTTCTGGTCGAACAACTATTTTATTTAAAAGTTTTGAATTTTTAAATTATTAACTGTGTATGCATATGTTTTTTTTTTCAATTTGTCTTTTATATTTAGGTGAGGGATTAGGACAACCCCGTTATGCGATGCCGTTTCTTGCTCCAAACACCACCGGAAAGGCGGTGCTATACGGTGTTAATTATGCTTCCGGCGGAGGAGGAATCTTGAATGCCACCGGAAGTATATTTGTAAGTTTTTTTTATATATATATATAATTATCGTAACTTTTTATAAAAATTAAATACGCACACATTAAGAGTAAGCAAATATAAGCGACTTTATTTTGTGGAGAAAGTATAATTCAAACGATTGAGCTCTCATGCTACTACGTGAGTAGGTGGGGAATAATATATATATATATTAGGTCCTCAAAAAGATTTTTTCTATAGAGCAACTTCAAATCTTGTATTTTTATTCTTTTGTATATTTTATTATTTATTATTTATTAATTTTATATAAAATTTTATTTTTTATATAATAGTATTCATATTGATATATTTTTATTTAAATTTATTTTTAAAATATAATAATTTTGATATAAATATAAATATATATATATAAAATTTATATCGAAGTGAGAAAAAAAAATGATGGATTAATGACTTTAATTGCTATATAGGTAATATTAGTAAAGCTTATTTCATATCACTACAAGAAAAAATAGACTATATGCTTTTTTTTGTTTTAAGTTATTTTGATGATGTTAAAAATTAAAATATAATTCGATCTTTTGATGAAAACAAGTTTGAATAATAATAATAATAATAATAATAATAATAATAATAATAAATTAGTATAGTTTACCGGTAAAAAAAATATTTTGTACATAAATATTTCTCAAAAAATAAATAGATAAATTATTAAGAGACGAGATATAAGATATTGCTTTACAATATTTTTAATAAAAACTCCATTTACTATGGATTAATGTATTCAAAATATTTTATTAATATCCATTTTATCTATTTTTTACACAAAAATAAATAAAGAAAGAAAAAAAACAACTAATTTCAAAATATATTTATTAATTTAAATAACAGGTAAATAGACTTTCGATGGACATTCAAGTCGACTATTTCAACATAACAAGAAAACAAATTTACAAGCTGTTGGGAGCTTCTAAGGCCCGCCAATACCTCAACAAGCATTCCATTTTTTCCGTCACTATCGGCTCCAACGATTTCCTCAACAATTACCTCTTGCCGGTCGTCTCCGCCGGCGCAAGAATCCGGCAGACCCCCGACGACTTCGTCGCCGACATGATCGACCATCTCCGATCCCAACTCACCGTAATTAAATTAAGTTAATTAAATACTACTAATATTAAATAATTAATCGACTATTAATTTGATTAATTAATTTGCAGAGGCTTTACGCACTTGATGGTCGGAAGTTCATAGTGGGAAATGTGGGGCCTATAGGATGCATTCCGTACCAACAGACGATCAACCAATTGAGCCAAAACGAGTGCGTCGACTTGCCTAATAAACTTGCGCTTCAGTATAATCGTAAACTCAAATCCCTATTGGACGAAATGAATTGGAATCTCGAAGGGGCAACCTTTGTCCTTGCTAATGTTTATGACCTTGTCATGGAACTCATCACCGACTACGCAAAATACGGTTCGTACACAATAAATAATCCTGCGGGATCTTCCGTCCCAAAAATAAATTCTATTCCCACACACATAATGTGTATATATACACGTATGTGTATGTATTAGTGTATCTAATACATACGTGTGTGTATATATGACAGGGGATAGGATGTGTTAAAGGGATAGAAGATCCTATCTGATAAATACTCTCTTCGTCGCACATTATTTGTCTCTATTTTCTATTTTTGTCCGTTTCACATATTATATACTTTAATCACATTTTAAATTTTAAATTTTTTAATTTTTTAATCTTAATTAAACTATTTAGTTATCTTAATTTTAATCTATAATTATTTTTAATATACAATAATTATTTTTAGTAATACACTTATTAATTATTTACTAATCACACTTTACCTAAATTCTCGTGTATACAGTAATACGTCCAAATTATATCGGACAGAGGGAGCTTATGTATAAATTTAAATTTAATAATATATGTGTGGATAGGATTTAGTACAGCGAGCAAGGCTTGTTGCGCAAACGAAGGGGGTGGGGAGTTGGCGAGACTGATCCCATGCGGGCCCACGTCAAGCACATGCGGGGACAGGGACAAACACGTGTTTTGGGATGCGTACCATCCCAGCGAGGCGGCCAACCTTATTATTGCCAAGCTGCTGTTGGATGGAGATGCTCGTTACACCTCTCCCATTAATATCCGCCGTCTACAAGATCTTTGATTTAATTTATATTTATATATATTATCAATTAATAATTAATGATTGTTTTGATTCTTCATTTGATTTGTATCTATCAATCTTATCTTGTTCCAAGTTGTTTCTTTCCATGAAAAGTCAAAATTTTGTTTATCTACACTCCTTTTGAAAGCAAACCACCAATATTTTTTCACCATCCTCAAATTTTATAAATAATGTATTTTTATAGGGACATTTGAGAAAGTCTTTCTTCAAGAAATATGCTTCAATACGGCTATACCATGCCCGTGCAGCTTGTTTCAATCTGTATAAAGTTTTGTGTAATTTGTAAACTTTTTGCACTCTTCTCCTATTTTAATGTTACCAAGGGTTGCTTAACATATACATCCCCCCTCAAATCTCGGTACAAGAAAGCTGATTTCACATTCAATTCGAAGATTGGCCATAAGTTTTTTGTTACCAAAGACACTATTACTCTTATTGCATCATGTCTTGCAATCGAAGCAAACACCTCTTTGTAGTCAATGTTGTATTGTTGCCGTATCCTTTTACTACCAAGTGAGTTTTGTGTTCATCAATTTCTCCATTATCTTTTAGCTTTGTCTTGTAAATCCAATTAACATCAATGTTTTTTTGGCCTAGTAGAAGATCGACTAACTTATATGTTCGGTTTCTTTCTATAGTTGTAATTTCATTGTCCATTGTTTGCTTCTATTTTGGTTATTGAATGGCTTCATCAAAGCTTACAGGATCGCAGTAAACAAATAGTGCAAGATAGACCAATGTATTTTTGCCTTGATTCAAATTTGATTGATCTATCACCTTGATTAATCTCAGTTACTTCATAATCTTTCGCCCATGTTGGTCATTTGTGAATTCACGGTGATAATGAATCATCGGCAACATGTGATTGTTCTTTTGCGGGTTTTGTTGTTTTTCTGTAAATTATGGTTGCTTACTTTATGTGGGTTCAGATCATCCATCTTTCACAGTTTTGGAATCATCATATGTGATCATGTGTTGTGTTCCTTCGGTGTTCCATTACCAATGATTTTCTTCATCAAATGTTAAATCTCGGATTATAGTGATCTTCTTATTGTTAGGATTATATAATTTGTATGCTTAAGAATAATCACTAATGCAAATAAATATACACTTTTCAACTTTGTCGTCTAGCTTTCTTCATTTCGCATCCGACATATTGGTATTATACAATGCAACCATAAATTCTAAAATAGCTCATGTATGATTTCCTCCCACTCCATGTTTTATGAGGCATTATATTTCGAATAACTAAGGTTAGAGTTTTGTTCAGAACATGGACACTCCATTTAACAGCTTCTGACCAAAACATTTCTGGAACCTTACCTTTCAGCAAGAAGCTTTTTACCATGTCTATAATTGTGCGATTCTTCCTTTCACACATGTCATTTTGTTGTGGCGGGTAGGTTTTTGTTAGTTGCCGTTTAATGCTATGCCTTTCACAAAATTCTGAATATTCCTGCAAGATGTACTCTTCACCATGACCACTCTTTAGAAGTTGTATTCTACAGTCTGTTTCTTTTTCAATCATTACTTTGTAGTTATTGAATGCTTCTAATGCTTTCAATTTTTCTTGCAAAAATAGGACCAAATTTTGTTACTCAAATCATCAATGAAGATAATGACATATTATTTACCTTCATTTGAAGTCAGATTAATCGATCGATATATGTCGGACTGTAAAATTCTTGACAACACCTTTGCTCTATATGATTTTCCTTTTGGAAACATATCACAACTTTGCTTTCCAACAATACGCTCTTCATATAGTATCGAGGAATAAAGATCAACAGAAATCCAATAACCATAGCTTTTTGCTGTTACAACCACAAAGTTTTCAAAACTAAGATGAGTATATCTATAATGTCCAGGCCAAGCATCATTTGATAACATTGCTGCAAAACATGATTGGTTAATATTTTTTATTTAATAAAATATCTTGTTAGATATTATTTACGTAAAAAAATTTAAATTAAATTTTTGTGTGCCAAAATCAAATGAACAGATCCATAGACGATGTTTGGTTCATGAACTTGGTGGAATTTTATGAGATATGGATTTTGAAAATCCCAAGGAATCTATGTTTGGTTAAAAATAGATAATAGATTTTAAAGTGAATGAAATTTTAAAATCCTGCAAATGAAAGGATTTTTCAGTAACATGGTATCATCTATTACTTTATACTCTCATTCTTATTACATACTCCCTCCGTCCCATAACAAAGTATTCATTTTTCCACTTTAGCCCGTCCCATAACAAAGTATCAATTTCCTTTTTTAGTAACTGTACTATCTACCTAACATTACAAATACCCTTACGACTTACAATATATTACACAAATATTATTACCTTTATATCACACATACTAATAAGGTTATTTTAGTCATTTCTAATTTATTTCTACTATATAACAATATAATACTAATATTTCTAAAATTACGTGCAAAAAGCAAATGGATACTTAGTTTTGGGACGGAGGGAGTATTACATTTTACCATTATACCCTCCTATCCAACTAGAAAATCATTAATTTTTTTTAATAGTATATGTATATATATATATTTATATTTAAATTATACTACATTCGTTTTAAAGGTCTCATTTACGTTTTGCGTGATGATCTTTAAATATTAATTATTATATGAAAACGTAGTACATATCAAGGGAAAATGACAAAAATATTTTTATTAGTGTCTTATAATACTATTATAATGACATTTGTGCAAAAAAAATTATACAAATATAAAAATATTTTTAATATTAAATATAATGACGCAAAAGGTATATGAGACATTTAGAGCCGGATTGAGGGAGTATTTTATTGGTTCTATAAAAATATAAGATTTTATTTAAATATACTACTACAAATACATATATTTATTTATAATCATTAATTTTATTTATATTTAATTACTCATTTCGTTCGGAAAATTTAGTTTATTTGAGTTCGGCAAGAAGATTAAAAAAATAATTATTTTATTGAAAAAAAAAAGTAAAACGATAGTTGATAATATTTTTGAAATTTTAATTAGAAATTAAAGATAATTGAAAGAGAATGTAATAACCTGAGTGATATTTATTCTAAATAAGTATTAAAAGAAAGGTAATAATTTATTATTGACTTTTTGACTTGTAACCAAATATACTAACATGGTAAATTTAACGAACAAATAAATAAATAAATAAATAAATTTGACGGACATAGAGAATATATCACTAATGATATTTTAACTAAATTAATAATTTAAATTTATGTCACTGGTGTATTAATTTTGTATTTTTATTTTAAAATATTTTTGTTATATTAGATATAAAAAAAGTGTCGGCAATGTAAAAAAAAATATATTTTATGTTACATTGTTGTATTTTTCTAGTGTAGAGATTATACATTATATATTTCGTATAAATCTATATATTATATTTTTTAATATTAATTGAAAACCGTATTAATTTTTTTTATTAAAACACACCTAATTTGGTGAAAAAATAAATAAAGTTCACAAAAAATAAAATGAATGTAAAGTTTAATTTATCGTAATAAATAAAACTCATTGACGGATAATTAGACTATCTCCAACCTATTATTTCATTTTTTAACCAATTACAGTAAAAGTGCAGTTGATTTATAGTAATTTTACTCCAACCACAAACTTTAATTTTTACTTTTAAAAAAATATATTCCTTATATATATTCATCTTTTATACTTCATCCGTCCACTTACAATGTTTACATATTTCTATTTTGTGACGTCCAATTACAAAGTTAACATTTCAATAAATACCCTACTTTTTTCCACAAATACTCTTACTTTATATCACATCATTACTTTTACACAAAAAGGTAAGGGCAAAAATGTCATTACACTACTCTTAACTACTCACTATAATTAAAATACTATTATTTCTTAAACACTGCGCCAAAAGTAAATGTAAACCTTGTAAATGGACGGATAGAGTATTATTTTATATAACTTTTCAGAATTATAAATTAATTCAACTTTAATTTCTTTTTATATTATCACTAAAAAATACATAATTCATATTTTATTTATAAAATTATATATCACTTTTTAAAAAATAAATTATATATTATTTTTCAAAAATAAAAATAAATCACATGTTACTTTCTAAAAAATAATTATAATGTATTTTAAAAAATAAAATTATATATTATTTCAAAAAATTATATGTATTGCTTTTGAAAAAATAAAATTACACAAAACACCCAAAAAATAATAAAAATACATAAAATACTCCACTCCATTTTAGCTACAATGTTACTTCAGTGTATTAAAATATAGAAAATTTAAATATTTTAATTAATCTGTAAAACAAATTTGATTTAGGAAATATAAATCTCAGTTATTTTTTTATTAATCAAACACATGATAATTTCAAATTCTAAATAAAATAAATTATGTATATATAAATTTTACTGCAAAATCTAAATTCTATAAAATCTCAATTCGTGAACCAAACGGTCCTTTAGTGATCTTCAAAGTCCGTGGATCCGGACTCCATCTCATACACACAGCATGCAACAAGTGTGAAAGTACTGAAACGGACACGGTAGAAGAATTCGAGGAGTGTAGACATTACTTATATCAGTCAAAGTAGCCGGTCCCGGACTTTAACACCGTACACACATGCACAGCACAGTCACCCGACAGCACTCACTGAAGACCAGGCCCGGGCCCTCCCGCGTGCTACCTTAGTACCACATGGCTCTCTATTAACCGTTGGATTGGACGCGGATTTGGAATCAACGGTCAAGATGAAGAAAGTGGAGCCCGGGAGTAAAGAGCATTCTGAGAAAATGACGGGAGCGAAGCAGCCAATAATTGCTCCACCCACGCTTTCCCGACAGCCATGATTCTGTCTCTCCCTCCTCTTCTTATTCAAAATCTTCTCTCTCCCCTTTGTACGCCCACACAAAAAAAAAAAAAAAAAAAAAAAAATCGGTCTTTATCTCAGAAGTATAATCTTATTGTGTTGAACACAAAATTTAAAAAATATTAATATTATATTAATAATTAATAAAATGTATGAATAAATAATTTTTTTTCTCTGTAAGTATATTAGTAATGACAATTGTGTAATAATAATATAAAAATAAAAATAATTATGGTAATATAGTTATTTATGAAAATAAGACTATTGTTTTTAAGACAGACAAAAATGGTAAATAAAGTTATTGTATTGAAACGGAGAGAGTAACTAAAACTAAAACTAAAAATAGACCGTGTAAAAATAAGTTTCAAATATTTTTATTTTTATTTTTAAGAATATTGTTATAAAGTTTGATAGAAAAATACTCTTATAACATTGGACGTGTTTTTTTTTAAAAAAAATTTCAGGGTATGCTTTTTTTAAAAAAAATTAATTAACATATTTTTTATAAAAATATTCATATTTATTATTTTTATGCTATCTAGATAATTTTTTATAATTTATATAAAACAATATTCTTTTAAATTAGTATTTCGCAAAATAAACAATTCCAAGATTTTTTTTCTTATTTACCAACTTTTTTTTATCTTAGAAGTACTACTTTTTCCATAATCAATTATCCTTTTTATGTTTTTACGTGTGACAGGTATTTAAGATAATAATAAAATTTAATTGATAAATAATAATAAATTATGAAATTTTTTTTATGTAAATTGTATTTTTAGTAATTTTAAAATAAAAATGAATATATATAATTAAAAAATTAATATATATTTAAATATTTTAAAAATTATATCTCAATAAAATATATGTAATGTAAAAATTATTTTGTATAATATAGAATTTTATATATTATAAATAAATAAAAAATTTATTTATTTATTTATAATTAACATAAATGATTTTATAAAAAATAAAAATTTGTAATATAAACAAAAATATTCGTTTATTAATAAAAAAATATAAATAAAGAGATTTTGAGTAAGTATTACATGAATTATGATATTATATATATATAAACTTAATTAACTTGATTTATATTATTAAATATATTTTGTACTAGTAAATTTGATCACATATAAAAGAATATATATATCAGGTAAAATATGACATGTTAAAATGAACAAAATGTCATTTTATTTTGAAATGAAAAAAATATTAAATAACTTTTTTTTATATTATATTGAAATATGTGCCATAAGATATGAAAATATCATTAAACGACGTAATGATTATTTTAAAATCCAAAACCTAAATTAAAATCCCAAATAGATGCAGGGGTAATTTTTACTTTGTCTTAAAATTACCACATTATTTTAAATTTTATATTAAAAAAAAAAAGTCTATTTGGCTTTCATGTACTTTTATTTAAAATAATTTATAAATTATTTAAAATTATGTTTAGCGACATTTAAAAATATAAATACATGAGTGTTTGTTTGGATGTTAGGTTGAGAATTGAATCTTGAAATAAAATATTGAATTTAAATAATTATTTAATATAATATAAGTATGTGTTAATTTGATATTTTGAATATAAAATTAATTTTAGTACGATATTAAAAAAAATAATTTAATATTTTATGGAAAAGTGCTAAAAAAAACCTTAAAAAGTCCAAAGGAAACAATGAATAGTTTACTTGTAAAATTGGATTATAATACATTAATTATTAAAATAAATTATATAATCATATGACAAAGTAATTTAATATTTACCTTTTAATTGATTCTATAACATTTTTATCTAACATACTCTTAATTATAGGATAAAATTAAGAGTTAATCAAAACAAACAACAAAACTATAAATTAGTGGGCAACACTGTTAGGTTATAAAATCACATTGCTATTAATGTAGTAATATAAATATTACTCTCTCGGTTCACATTGAAAGTCTTGGTTATAGTAGACACGGGAATTTAAAATAAATATAATTAGTAGATACTTAAGAATATATTAGTGAAAATAATTAATTTATAATATAAATTATTATAAATTAAAATTAAAATAACTAATTAATTTAATTATAATTAAATTAAATTTAAAATTTAAAATAAAATTAAAATGCATAATTATTTTTTTTTAAAAAAAATAACATAAAATGTAAGTCGGACAAAAACAGCAACATAAACGTGTAGGTGGGACATAAAAGTGTAGGTGGGACAGAGGAAAGTATTCATTTGAAGTAACGAGAGATACAACAGCAGCCCACAAAATGCATGATTAATTAATGGCTAATTAATGAATGCCTACGGTGTCGTATTAATTAGAAGTACACGAGCAACTACTTTAATAATGACTTTGTACCACAATAATTGGCAGTTAAATATATTGTTATACATACACACATTTACTTATGTTTGTAATCATAATGCAGCCCACTTTAATTATTTATTCACAAATAATAATAATAATAATAATAATAATAATCCTCCCTCCCATAATTAAGTTATAAAATTTATTTATTTTTTTCATGAAATTTTGAAAATATTAATGTTATATTGGAATTTAATAGGAATAAAGTATAAATAATTGAAATAATCTTATTGTGTGATATAAATATAATGACATTTGTGTAATATATTGTAAGTTGTAACAGTATTTTTAACGTTAGGTAAATAGTAGAATTACTAAAAAAAAAATGAATACTTTATTACAAAACAAAATAAAATAAAACAATAAATAGTTTGTTATGAGACTGAGGGTTAATATATTTTCTTAACACTTCATTTATTTTTTTATTTTAATCCATCTATCTATTTTTTTTTAATAACTTATTTTATACCAATATTAAAAATATATTTATAATTTGTAATATATTATATAAATATTATTATATTTACATTACATAATATTACTAAAATTATTTTAATTTTTTTTATTTTATTCATATCACACCCTAATATAATATTAATATTTGATAAAGATATATGAAAAAACAGAGGGATATAAAGAAAAGTAATAATAACTATTTATCGAAAATAACCATACTAAGAAGCATAGAGCACCTAAAACGGCTACACTCACCTAAATCATTAAAAACACCCGGGACCCGAACGCCAGATAAATCTCCACCTCAACCAACGGTCTGGATTAACCAGACCCACAGATCCCGGGCCCTTTCAAAATACACTCCCAACAAAAGCCTGTTTCCAGCCGACTTGATACATCAACGTTTTTCAAACAAAAACATCTGCAAAAGCTGTTGGACAGACAAATCTTCTCCATAGAATCTCTTCGAACATCTTCTGTAATAAAATCCCTATTGTTCTTTCCACATTTTTCATCCACAACCTTCTGCAAATTTCCTTTCTTCATTATATATAAATTAGGGTTTTGGTTTTTGGAGGAATTTGTAAGGAACGATCGATGGGTACGGATACAAGGGAGAGGAAAGTGACAAAGCCGAGCCGAGCCGCCGCGGCCGCCGCGCCGGAGACTGAGCAGCTGCCCTGCCCGCGATGCGATTCCACCAACACCAAATTCTGCTACTACAACAACTACAACTTCTCCCAGCCGCGCCACTTCTGCAAGTCGTGCCGCCGGTACTGGACGCGCGGCGGCGCTCTCCGGGACATCCCCGTCGGCGGCGGCAGCCGTAAGAACGCCAAGCGGTCTCGGACCAGTACTGTCGGGACGACGACGCCTGCAACCGTCGCCGGTGTGGCGCCTGTTTATTCCTCCTCCTCTCGTCGCGAATTTCTACATCTTCCGGCCGGTGCTTCTCCGATTATGTTTCCGATCGCCGCCGATCACGGCGGCGCTCCGCCTTTCATCGGCGAACCTAAGCCGAGCGGGAGCTTTACTTCGTTGTTGAATGGTGGATCCGGGTCGGGTTTACTCTCGCTGGGCGGGTTTGGGTTCGGGTTTGGGCTCGAGGATGTGGGATTTGGGCTGGGGAGGAGCTATTGGCCCATTAATGGTGGTGTGGAAGGAGGACCGACGAGTGGAAATAGCAGTTCTTCGAGCTTTGCTGGGGACACGTGGCAGATGGAGAACGAAGAGAGCGTTGTTTATGGCGGGAGTGGAGATATTATAACCTTCCCTAATCTTGCTATTTCCACACCCGATGATGTTTTGAAGCGATAATTCTAATCTAATCTCGAATTTTCCTTCCTGTTTTTGTCAGTTTGTCTGTTTGAACAGAGCTCTTAATTCATATTTAGTTCTTTGTTGCTCTTACTGAGATTTGTAAATTGTAATCACAATCAAAGCTCGTAATTTGCTTCGTGTTTGAGTGACTACTTGGGCAGAACTTGGTTAGGGTTTATTTTGGAGGTAAATCTTTGTTCTGTAACTTCTGTTCTGCGAATTGAGTATGGTTTGCACGTTGTGGTCAGCTCTGCTACTGCACTTTCATTTTCGATTTCTGTGAATCTGAGCAGCAAATTGATTGGTTATATTTTGCAGTTCGATTGTTATTGAGTTGTGGAATTCAATCTGCGATGAAATTTGAACCTATTTGTTAAGAATCTGTTGCGCAGGTGTCGCTAAAATTCATGGTTTCAGATCCTTGTAGAATTGCCTATAATTTCATTGATATTTAGTTAGAAACCAGATCCTAATTTTATTGAAGTTATGGCGGACACAGTTTTAGATTTGAATTTGACCGTTATTATCACTTCAGCATCCATGTTTTGTGGCTTCATTTATGAACCAAGTTCTTCAGCATAATAGCATATGTTGTTCTGTTGCATTTCAGTACTCAATTAGTTTAGCTTTGTTCAGTTTCTTCTAGCCTTTCTGCATCATCACTAATGTTGAGATTTTCTTCAATACTGAATATATTTTGTTACTGTTCTTCAGATTAGTTCGTTATTATTTGGATATATTCATTTATAGGCAGCTGATTCATTATCAATAATATGCAATTGTGAAATTTTATAAGATGTAACAGTTAAGATGTTTGTGCTATCAATTCTCAATTCTGAGACATTTTGCTTGTTGATGGTAAATCAATGTAGCTGTATTATATAACATTACATGTTTTTTTCAAGCATGAATTGCCACCATTTTGTTCTGGTACACGGGGGCGGCCATGGAGCTTGGTGTTGGTACAAGGTTGTTACGCTGCTTAGATCCGGAGGTCACACAGCAACTGCGCTCGACTTGGCAAGCTGTGGGAGGGACCCTCGGAGAGTGGAAGAAATTCCAGCAATTGAGGACTATGTCGAACCTTTATTTCAGTTCATGGAAGGTCTCCCTGCCGGCGAGAAAGTCGTACTGGTTGGTCACAGCAGGGGCGGCATCGACATTTCCATGGCCACAGAAAGGTTCCCGGAAAAAGTTGCTGTAGCTGTTTTTGTTACTGCCTCCATGCCCAGTCCTAGTCTTGACGTCTCGACTATCACCAAGAAGGTATTAAGCTTAAACCGTATTTAAGATTTACTTGCACTATGAGCCTTAAACTTTTTTTCATTTTCAAAAAATGGGATCCAACAGTTGAATGATTTTAGTAGTTTATTTGTGTCGTTGTTACTGTGTCAACTATAATTAGTGAACACAATGCAGATAAGAGTTTGTTTACTTCGTAGGATAGGATAATAATTTGTAATTTTATTTTAATAGTAGATTATATAATAACGAGATTAATTAGTATCATGTTTACTTTGCTAGATTAAATATAGAATAACATAGAGTTTAGTGCAAATATTATAGGTTAGTCTGAACTATCTAGGTGAGATTAATCATCTTCTATAGTGTATTATTATAACGAACTTTAATCATTCTCGAGTTGTAATGTAGTAAAGTAAGTATGTGATTAGGTTGTGTTTGTTTGTGGGTTTGAAAATTTGGATTTGGATTTTTGAATAGTAAAAAGTCGAATGTGAATAGTTGTTTAATTTGATATAAATAGAGGTTGATGTGATATTTTAAATGTCAAATAAATATGTAGTATAATATATATATATAAGGAAATTGTTTTGATTTGCTATTTTTGAAGGAAAAAATGAATCCGAATAGTAAAAAGATGTGACAAAATCCACAAAAGAATCTAAATAAATTGATAGCACAATATTTATGTTTATATAATACCATAATTGATCTCAACACTCAAAGTATGACATATACATACGGTATAGAATGTTAGTATGTTCTATTTTCATATACTGACTAGCCCAATCAATACCTTGACCATTCTCATTTTATCGATTGATTAGTTCAGAGAGCAATTCGGTCCTCCGATGGACAATGAGTTCACTTCCGGACAAGGGATCGATGGTCGACCTCTTTCAATTGCTCGGCCCGGCCCGGAGTTCATGGCTTCGATGATGTACAACCTTTCGCCCCCGGAGGTAATTTACATGAAAGTGATGGTTAGGCCACAGTAAAAATGAATCTATGGTATAGTCAATGTTTATTACCATGTTTCTCGTATCCAGGATTTGACACTCGCAAGACTACTAGTGAGACCGGCGCCACATTACGAGGAAATTCTTAGTCCTTCGACAAAGACTGCTCTTACAGACGAGAATTATGGCCGTGTCCGAAGAGCGTACATTGTTTGTCCTGAGGATAAGGTGATGAAGGAAGAGATACAGAGGTGGTTGATCGAAGAGAATCCGCCGGACGAGGTAAGAGTGATAGACGGCTCCGATCATATGGTGATGATGTCGAAGCCGGAGGAGCTGTCCTCTTTCTTGATGGAAATTGCCGCCAAATATTGCCACAATTTGAACGTATAGAGCGTATACATTTAAACTGTGATTGAACGTTATGTTATGAGGAACAAAATAATCTATTTTTATAGAAAATTACAACATATCAAAGAGATTAAAAGTAATATACTCGTCTTTGCGCATCAAATTTAAATATATTTTTTGGGTCCCCAAGAAATATGTAATTTTAATTTATAGCAAATAAATTTAACACACTACTTAACTTATGCTTTTCAATATTTTACTTTTTTTACATTTATGCCACCAGTATAACATACTCAATTTATTATATATTTTTTAAATACTGTAAATTTATAAAAAGTCATATACAACTTTTATGAACATATTTTTTTTTACGGAAAAAATATTATTTTTAGTAATAGAATATTCATCCAATTATCCACCCAAAGTAAAAATAGCAACTCTATTTAATTAATTTATCACATATTGTGTTAATTAAAATACACAAATGGACTATTGTCATTTGATGCTTATGTAAACTTAAGTAATGCTGAATGATTTTCATTTATGGTACTAACAACAGTATTGAAGGAAACGATCATATTACAAGAAAAAGCTCAATAAATGCGCATTACCAAAGCAACACCGGCAAAATCGAATCATCACAAAATAGACTATAACAACATTTTGAAGCAAAGCATACGTTACAAAAAGTGCAAACAAACCTCGTATACGTACATGCATATATACAAACACCACACCTTTTTATTACACACATAATATGTTATGACCTTTTTATTACACACATTATATGTTATGTGTAATTGTAGACGAAAAATTGTGTTATTTTTTTATAAACATAAAATTTGTACAAATTATATTTGATTTGAATTTAAAGTGGGTCATATTTTCTAAATGTGTCATTTGATTCTCCTTCGATTTATTTTTTAATTTGGTTTTCTATGGCTTCTTTGATCCGAAGAGATTTGGTCTTCGGTTTGATTCTACCGTACTTTGGAGGGTTTTGTTCTCCGTGCAGGTAATTTGATCGTCAGTTTTGGATTTGATGTCTTTTTGTGACGATTTGAGACTTTGATCTTTGATTTGGTTTTACCGTCTTTTGGAGGGTTTTGGTCTCCGTGTTGGCAATTTGATCGTCAGCTTTGGATTTGATGTCTTTTTTGGACAATCCGAGGCTTTGATCTTTGATTTGGCTTTGCTGCCTTTTGGAGGGCTTTGGTCTCCGTGTTGGCGATTTGACCATCAGCTATGGATTTAATATCTTCTTTGGACGATCCGCAGCTTTAATTTTTGGTTTGCCTTTTCCACCTTTTGAAGATCTTCGGTCTATGTGTGGGCGATTTGATCATCGGCTTTGGATTTGATGTCTTCTTTGGACGATCAACGGCTTTGATTTTGGTTTGGCTTTTTTGCCGCTTTTTGGAGAACTTTGGTCTCCGTGTGAGCGGTTTGATAATTGACTTTGGATTTGATGTCTTATTTGGACAATCCGAGGCTCTGATATTTGGTTTGGCTTTGCCGCTTTTTGGAAAGCTTTGGTCTCCGTGCGTGTGATTTGATCATCAGCTTTGGATTTTTTATCTTTTTTGGACGATCCACGACTTTGATCTTTGAGCAGGTGGATTTGGTGCTCCATAACGCTTTTGACAGCGTGTCCCTTTGACTTTTGGATCGAAAAAGGCCGAGTTGTTACTTTGGTGAATAACGCAATGAACACCTCGAAGCTTTGGGATGAACTTTGGATGCTCTTCTTTTGCTTTGATGGATTCTTCAACGGCTTTTGGAGCTTTGATCCTTGAAGAAATAGATTTGGTGCTCCATAATACTTTTGGCGGTGTGTCACTTTGACTTTTAGATCGAAGAGGGCTAAGTTGATGTTTTGTTGAAGAATGCGATGAACATCTTGAAACTTTAAAAGGAACTTTGGAGACCTTCCATTGGCTTTGACAACTTCTTCAACGGCTTTGGGAGCTTTGATCCTTCATCCAGTTTAGGAATACGACGAAGAACGTTAACTTCATTAATTCGTCAACCAATATTGGATCATTTGTCCAAATTAGTGACTTTCGATAAAAAACGTTTCGAAGGACACGAAAAACATGAAGAACAAAACAGAGAGAGTTTAGAGACTTACCTCTTTGCTTGAATCCTCGATATAACTTCGGTGTGTCCAAATGAACTGGCCATGACTCCTATTTATAGGGAATGGGTGGCTTCGGTTTTCTTTTTAAATGGTGCCACATGGCACGTTTTGATTGGTTAATAGAAAGATTTTATAATCTTTCATTTTCTATCGGATGCTCTTTTTCATTCTTGACGGATTTGATTGTGCACCTTCCTTTCTCGCCAAGATCTTTATATCATTGCCATTTTTTCTGAAGATATTAATTTATATACTTTCTTTATTGACAATATTAATTTATTTTGCTGCCAAATTTATTATGGCTCTATTTATGTTAGTAATATTTGTATGATATCTTTCATTTTAAGCAGATTTTTGCATTAATGATATTTATTATGCAAAAATTAACATATGTGTATAATTAAATACTATATATTTATATTATTGAAATTTTATTTTCTTCCAAAATATTGATATTTAATTTAATTTAGGCATTTAATTTTTAATGCCTACAGTAATAAAGATATGTGTTATTTGTTCATAATTACATGTGTGATGTATAAGAATATGTCATGTGATAAAATACTATTGTGTGTGCTTAAAATTATAACATGAGTTGTTAATTCATATAGGGTGTGTTTGTTTGAGGGATTGGATTTTAAATACACAGTTCATCCTATTTTTTCCCCAAAAAAACATCAAATCAAACACCTACTTTTATTTTTTATATTATACTAAAAATCAATTTTACATTCAAAACATCACATCAGCACCTATTTATATCACATTATACAACTATTCAAATTCAAAATTTTTACTATTCAAATCCCAACTCAAAATCAAAATCCCCAAATAAATACACCTTTACTGTATTTATATTATATTAATATATAATGTGCTCTCTGTAATAATACAACATACAAAACACAAGTAGTGCTGAATTAAAGTAGCACTATAGTTGCCGCCATATATATAGTTTCATCTGGCTTCGCCAAGCCGCAGCTGAGAAAATACCTCTTTAGCATCCACCTGGCTCAGCTCCGACAAAACCCCCGACTCCTCCGGCACCTCATCGTCACCGATGGTGTCTGAAGCCAGGCGGCCCAACACCGGAACCGCCAACCCCATCGCAACATCCGTTGCTGTGCTATATTCATACGATCCCGCTGCTGCCGGAGGAGTCCCCATATTCTGAAGCCGCAGACAGTACTCCAAGTCCCACAACACGTCGACCATGTTCGGCCTATCGGCACCGCACTCCTTCAGACACTTCTCCACCGTCTCCCCGAACTTCCTCAGACAGCCGTCGTTGATCGTCCCAACCAGCCGAGCATCGACAATTTTATCCAGCTGGCCCTGTCTGATCCTCGATAGCCCCCAGTCCGCCAAATTCACTTGTTCGCGTGGCAGCGCTGGGTTTACGGCCGGCCTCGCGCATAACGTTTCTAGAAGCACGACGCCGAAAGAGTACACGTCGGATTTCTGCGTAAGCTGCGAGAACTTGAAGTACTCTGGGTCGAGGTACCCGAAGCTGCCCTTCACCTGAGTGCTGACGTGGCTCTCATCGGGAGCTCCGGTGTGGGACAGCCCGAAATCTGCCACCTTGGCGATGTTGTGCTCGTCGAGCAAAATGTTCGTCGACTTAATGTCGCGGTGGATTATCGCGCGTTTCGACCCCGTGTGGAGGTAGTAGAGACCCTTTGCGGCCCCGACGCAAACGTCGAGCCTATCGACCCACGATAGCCTCGATTCCGATTCGCCGCCGTCTTCGGACGCGTATAAATGGTCGCGTAAAGTACCCTTTTCCATGAACTCGTATACGAGTATCATCTCGTCCCGCTCGTCGCAGTACCCGATGAGCGAGACGAGATGACGGTGGCGGATTGTCGACAAAACGACGATCTCAGTTTGAAATTCCAACACCCCTTGCCCGTGCTCCGGCTGGCTCCGTTTTACGGCGACTTTCATCCCGTTCCATAGCATTCCCCGGTAGACCTTCCCGAACCCGCCTTTCCCGACGATCAATTTCGGGTCGAATTTGTTCGTCGCGACGAGGATATCGGCGAAGGAAATCCTTAATCCGAGGTTGAGATCCACCGTCGGGGAGTCGCTAACTGTCCTAACCGTCGTCCGGGTGTAAGAACTCCCTCCACCGTGGAAATGAATCAACGGCCACTCGAAAGCCTCGACCGGAGTCCATTTCTTCTTCCGGATAACGCAACAGTAGACGGCGATTATCGCGAATCCAAGCACCGAAATGCCGCCGGCAATCCCCAATCCGACAAAGAGAGCCTTCCGGATTCTACTAGAACCTTCCAGAGGAGATAAGCCGGTTTTGTCGATCAGCTCGATGATCTCGACTCCGTTGAGATACGCTGATTTCTGATTCTCCGAATTGGTCGAAGGGCCAATGCTGATGTTCATGAACCCCGAAGCGTCGGACGTAACCAAATAATCGAGATAGAACGGCGACGCCGCCGAGCTCCGGATCGAATAAGGATAGATTTCATCTCTGAAGCTGTTGTAGATGTAGAGATTGAACTTCACGACCTCATAGTCTGTTTGGTGTATGAAGTCGCAGAAATGCAGCCGGAGAAGATGATCGGCGCCGGTGCTCCGGACGGCGAATCGCCACGAGACGTTGAAATTGGTCACTAAACCTTCGCCGGTGATTCGCATCTCTTTGGCGGTTCTGTAAACTTCGGGAGGAGCGATGAATTCGGTAGACCCACTACCGGAATTGAAATTGAGATTTCCGGTGTAGTAAGGAGCTTTCTGAGCTGCGTTGGTGTTGATCATGAAACCGACGTCGTCGTCGGGAATCCAGAACCTCAATAAATTGTCCTTTTCCGGCGTGATTTTTCCCCCTCCGACGTTGATCCGGTGAATAACGTGCAGGAAAGTGGCGTTCCGCAGATCGGCGTAGCTTCGACCTTCCAATTTCCGATTTGCAGAAGGAATTTCGACATCGTTATCTGGAATTAGCTCAGGCGGAGCGATGAACACTTCGATTGCATTTACGAAGGCAAATGAATCCTCGCCGTAGGGCACGAATTCGACTCTGAAATTCCCCGGCGCGATTTTGAACAGGAATTCCTCAATCGGCGGGGAGCTTGTGAAATTCCTGTTCGCGACCGTGAAATTGGACAGAATCGGAGCTCCGGGGACGGAGACATTGAATCGATAATCGAATGGTTTTTGGAAGGAAGAAAGAGGGGAAAAATGGAAGCGTACCAGATAGATTCCTTCGTCGTCGATTTGAAAGGCGTACGACGAAGCTCTGGTGAAAATTCTGGCGGTTCGGTAGAGCTCCGGCGCAGATGAGTTCGGATCTCCGGCGGTTATGGAGCTTCTCGACGACGGCGCCGTCAAGGAGTTCGCCGGATGCACATCGCCTGTGAAATTCTGGCTTCCGACTGTAACTGTGGAATCGGAGCCGCAGTTGATGAAGTAGCGTTGCGGTAAGGCGTAGGCGGAGGCGGAGGAAGTGAGTGAAAGATGGAGGAGAAAGGAGAGCGCGAGATAGGATGATAAGGATGTTAGTGGAGAGGCGGCCATGGAAGCTCCGGCGGATGGAGGATTTACAGGAGCGAAGAAGATTCAATTGGATACATAATAATAATAATAATAATAATAATAATAATGCCTCAGCCTATAAATTTTATAGTATTAGTAGTATAATTGATTGTAGCGAAAAAAACAAAAATACTCCTCCTATTAATATTATGTAATATAAAAATAATAATATTTGTATAATATAACTTAAGTTTGAAGGGTATTTATTATATTAGATAGACAGTACAATTACTAAAATTAATAATTTTGTATAAAATATTAAAATGAATAATTAATTAATTATATTGACAAATATTTTGTAAAATAATACAAATATTTTTAAGACTAATTAACGATTAATACTAAATTTGTCATGTGAGAATTTTTTTTGTTATGTTCATAAAAATATAATTGATACTATACATATATAAACACAATCTATAGAAATATTAATAATTTTTTCCTAATAATTATATATAATTTCTTGTTATATATTAAAAATAATAATTAGTATGTTAAAATAATTAGTAAATGATAAATAATTATTATTAAATGATAGAAGGAAAAGGGGCATGGTTGACTGGTGGTTGACCGGAAGTGTGTGTATGAGAATTAGCCTAGATTCTAGGCATGTGAGCGTGGGACCTACTCGCATTCTTTATTTTTATATTCGAAGAAATATATATTTTTTTTTTGATCTAATTGAAAATATAAAATTACATTTTTAAGGTCGTCATAATTTAAAAATAGTATAATCATTCTTTAATAACATGATGAAATGGCATGTAACTTCTCTATAGTTTTAAAATTCAATATAAATATTTTTTATATTTTAAAAATTACATAATATTTTGTTATATTTTAAAAGATGTTATATAAAAATTACATAATATCGTCATAAAACTTCACTTGTGTTATGAAAAAATGATTTTTTATTTATATATTTTGCATGATTGGGGTTTCAATAAGGGGAGAATCCATTTTTAAAGTAAAAGTTAAAATTATACTGAATTTCGAAACCAAAAGAAATTTTGTACAAAATTTTTTAAAGTATAAGAGAAGCCATGCAATTTTTAAATTAAAAAAAAATTAAGTTGAATTTCATAACCACAAGAGAATTATGGACAAATCTATCTAATAATAACAATAATAATAATAATAATAATAATAATAAGTGTCTGGTTTAGAGGGTATTAAGTTCGACCGGAGTTTACCTGCACACTTTCGGATAGCGCCTGCGAATTCGCACGTCATAAAAAAAAAAAAATAAAAATAATAATAATAATAATAATAAGTGTATTTTGTTCGAGCTAGGAGCCTACTCAAATGTTTCATTTTGATCTCTAGATCAAACTTTCTACTATTTAATCTATATTATTCTTAGAGCATATAATAATTATTTTAATTTACTTTTATTTTATTTTATTTTCATTCCGATTAATATTAAAATTATTATTTTTAACACTCACTGTAATATTATTATTTGTACGTTTTATAAATTTTATAATCTATTAAGTTTCATATCTTGAGTTAATAAAAATAATTAATTTTATTATTGAAAAAATTAAAAATGTAATTATAAAAAAATAAAGAAGACGATTGTAATGGATCTTGTTATAGCAATAATGTATGAGTTGATTTTACAAAGTATTAATTTAAAAATTATTTAAATTGAAATCGAAATTAAAAATTTAGATACAAACTAAATAAATGCAATTTTGCTTTAAATTTAGACTTATTTTTATTAAAGTTTAATATAATATTTTATTTCAAAAAATAATATATTTTTATTAAAATGCATATACATTGAATAATTATAAATTTTACTTTGAAATTAAAATTAAACATGTTACATATACTTAATACTTCATCTGTCCTACATAAAGTATTATTTTTTTCTCGTCCGTGCCATATAATTGTTATTATTTTTTTAAATATGATTATATACTTTAATCGTATTTTAAAATTTAAAATTTATTTTTTTTTAAATTCTAATTAAATTATTAAATTATCTTAATATTAGTATATAATTATTTTTATTATATAATTATTATTTGTATTAATTCGTTTTTTAATTATTTATTAATTATATTTTACGTAAATTATTATATTTACATTAACATGAATACTTTTAGTGAGACGAAGAAGCATAATGTACTTTGAGATTTTATAATTATTATCCTTTTTTTTACTTAGAGATTTATTATTTATTTATTTATTTATTTATTTTTACATATTTTTATTGGGTGAAATAAGGAGACTTCCATAAGTCATTCATTATAGTATTGCTCTTGTCCAAAAAGATTTAATTTCGAATTTGTGATAGTAGAGCAGGGATAATAACATGTGTCTCTATACAGTGCCTCTGTTCAACGTGTAGCCCAGGTCCAACATGTCCAAGTCCATTTGGATGTGAGATTAAAAATAAATTTACAGTGACTCACCTAAAATCACTCTCCCAAATTTTCTTTTTCTCAAATATTATTATTTATATATATTTACACAAATACGTTCCCACGGTGCCCTAGCAATGCGTCGTCCTCGCCTGCAAGAACCTTAATGATAACGCCGGCAACTTCGCCGGAAACGCTCCTATCTCCAAGATGCCGGTGAGTAATTGTTTCGTGATACTCCTTGCTTCTGTAAGTACTCTTTCTGAGTCTCATTTCCTCAAAATTCTTTTCTTGCTACTACAATCAATTTGAAGATTTGATTATGGTTGGGCTTTTTTGTCTTTGATTAAGTATTTTAGTTTTAATTGTGTGATTGGCTCCACATAGATATATTTGCAATTATAGTTTATGCAGTCTCCTTCTCGAAAACTCGTTTCTTTACTATAGGGCGTTGGCAAACACATAAATCTTCCGTTTTCTTATCATATGTGAACATTTTCTTCCATGGGTTCAATCTAGTTCGATAATGGAAAATAATGTTGAAATTGTTGAACCAAATATCGATGAATTATGTTTGAATATAGCCAGGTTATAGCAAGACCGAGATGTGTGTGGAAGGGACGGCACCTTAAATAGATCGAGAAGTGTAAACAATCCGGGACGATTGTATTACCATTGCAACCCTTGTGACAATTGGCTAGGTTGGGAAGATGTTGACAGTGAACAGCACGAGGATGATTACGAGAAAAAGACGGAAACATCATTTCAATATGGAGAGTCTAGTGCCACGTCAAGGCGTGGCAAGATGAGTAATGATCGTTTTTTCTATCCTTACAGACTTGCAAAAAGTCATGAAAAATTGCTCGAGAAGCTTGAATACCTTATTATCGCCAACATTGTAATTTCTATAATAATCTTTATCTATATGTTTGTATTTTGAGTGCAATGTGTATTTATATGATTGCATTTATGTGGTCTATGTGTTTGTATTTTGAGTGCAATGTGTATTTCTATGATTGTGTTTATATGGTTTAGGGATTATAGACGTGCGGGGTTAGGCTTATTTATGGTGTACGATGGATATTTGCTCATACTAAGTGCGTATCGATGTAAAATGGAGACTTGTCATGAACGTATGCTTGATTTGAATGTTTGATGTTCTTAGCCTTGCTATTGTAGTCCTTGTTATTAGAATGTTATCAGTTTCTGGGGGGAGATCCAATTATAGTTGTTATGGAAAATACATGTTGCGACAGGAAACGACAGTTACGCAGCGCAACTATCATTTCCTTGCCCAATTTCGCCATATCCCTAGTTACATGCACAATTTTCCTTGCCATCATTGCCAAATGATTTATGACAACTGAATTCAAAAGAGGTGATTGAGGACGAATGATCAACTATCACTTTTTTCAAAAAAGATTTTGAAATGACATATCAGAAATACTTGTTTGCTTGATCTCCCTTCTATAAGCTTCTCTCTTATTGATTCAATCTTCTCCATCTTAGACCACCTATCTACCTGGGATGAATCAAGGGCCATGAGGCGGGCACTGATACTCCGTGTTACGGAGGCTTGAGACTCTTTATGCTGTCTGATCCTATGTTGACGTTGGTTGTTAACTTTATGGTTGGCCTTCACTTTCTTACACCCAATTGGGCGCTCCATATCTACCGAAGTAGGCCCACTTAACTCATTTTGGCCAAGCATTGCATCGGAGCCCACAACATCTACTTGCATGGTTTGATCAGTAGTCTCAATTGGTGTCATGGGTGACTGCCCCTGAGCCTCCATCCGGAAGGAGCGTCTCTCACAACCTTTTTCATTTTCACGTATAATTGTCAGCTCAACCGAGCGCATCTTATTCATAGATAGAAATTTCATCTACTTCAGTTGATCCTTTAAAATACGCCAACACGTCTCGCATTTGAAGGTCCGCCAATGCTTTTCAGAGTATATTTCTTCGCAATATTGTTCCTGGCCCAATAAAAGTTTCCAATATCATATAAACATATCAACTGAAAATGTCATAACATAATCAAGATTGCAAATAACTTACAAAATCAGTTGAATTCCACCCACTCCAGTGTTGTCCTTTGGCATGAGTCTGTACTGCAATCCATTTACTGCATTGTGATATGATCTCAAGCATCCGATTTTCATATGCACTTGGAGTTCTTTTATTCTCAAACCTGGGAACTCCATGATTCTCTTCCCTCATGAGAGCAAAATTCTCACATACCCTATCCCAAAGTCTTAATTTTTTTTTTTGGTTAACAACGACACGTGCATCTGTTGACACATTGCATTGGGCCGTGGTCAACTCTACATCTTTATCTATAGTCCAATTCTTACTTGTATGTTGATTATTATTTTTTTGGGCCTGGGCGCGGAGTTGACCTGGCTAGGAGTTTTAATTGAGAATAGTTGACGGTTTGTGGTCAAATGAGTACTTCTGGCCTGAGAGGACTGGGTCTCGTGTAGAAGAAGTTGCGATGAGCTTTCAAAATGTGTGAAGTTTCACATTTGTTGGTAGAATGTCGGGTCTCTATGTTGTGAAAAAAATTGCATCGCGGGAAAAAGACAAACCAAAGCTCATATTAAAATGAGTCGGGAAACCTGATTGTTGTGTAGCCATATCTGGTGTACTTTGATCATGT